TTGAGGATTCCATGTGAGGGCTTGTCTTGTGACGCAGTTAGGTGCTCTCCTCAATGTGTGTCCTATCCACTTCCACCACTTCTTCCTGATTTATTCGTCCACTGGGATTAAGTTTGTTCTCTCCAACAGCAGGTTGTTGCTCATAATATCTGGCCAACGGATCCGAAATATTTTGTGTAGACAGCTGTTAATGAACACCTGTATCTTCTGGATGATGGATTTCGTAGTTCCCCAGGTTTCTGCCCCATACAGCAGAACTGTCTTGACATTTGTATTGAAAATCCTGACCTTTGTGTTGGTTGACAGATATTTGTTTTGAGTTCCAGATGTTCTTCGATTGTAGATATGCTGCTCTTGCTTTGCCTATCCGTGCCTTCACGTCTGCCTCAGATCCACTGTGTTCATCAATGATGCTACCCAAATATGTAAAGGTTTTTACAACTTCCAAATCTTCTCCGTCAATTGTGATTTTATTGATGCATGCTGTGTTGTATCGGAGAATCTTAATTTTCCCATTGTATATATTGAGACCTACTGATACTGAGGCTGCTGCTACACTGGTCGTTTTCTCCTGCATTTGTTGTTGCGTTTGGGATAGTAGGGCCAGATCGTCTGCAAAGTTTAGATCGTCTAACTGCATCCGAGATGTCCACTGTATCCCGTGCTTCTTTTCAGATGTTGATGTCTTGCTGTGCACTTATGTGATTTGACTATAAATTTGCCTTGTATTGTTCTGAACTCGAACTCCAGACAGAACAAACTAATATTTCATGCGATATTTGTCAGGAAAGTTGTAGAAAATAATCGGAGCAGCAAAACGGATACAACTGTATCAAATGCAACTCAGAATCTCTGTGAGACAAAGCTTCTAATGAATCAATTCCTTATAAATTCCTCATGTTGGTTTACCAAGTATGAGTTGTCCCAATGATTCACATATTTTTGACAGAAATCCTTGTAAAAATGAGCTGAATGAATCAACATCTGATGCAAATTTGATAGATGCTGATGTTCCTAATAACTTCCCTTGTAGATCTTCTAGAATTAATGCCGGCTCCAAGCCCGGGTAAAGGAGGAGGGTTGGGCACAGGGTCAGCAATCTTGTTCTTTAGAAAACGCTAGCCAGAACTAACATTTTAAAACACTTAAACTCTGCCCCGGGAGTTGAAAAGAGAATTATAACACTTAATGATGAAAGCTATAGACAATATGGCCTCTCGTTTTGATATTCACTAACTTACCTTGTGAAGAAAGTGTGTTGTACTCACTTGGCAAGATCTACTAAATGTGTAACCATATGAGATCACTCCTAAGGTGTGGCTCATTAATATAGGTCAACCAAACACTGTAACATGTAGGTATTATTTACATACTGTATCCGTTGAAAAATGAATGGAAAACGGGGATTCATGATCGCGAGACAGGACGCATTTGCCGAAATTCTCTGTAACAGACACGACATTATGGTAAAACGCTAAATACAACAAAGTATTACCACGCATGAAGTGCGCGACATTCCGCTCCCATTCAAAAACGCCCATGTCTCTACGACACTGAGAACTGCTACCTATATTCTCGAAAACTGAGGTCATCAGAAATCAAGTTGAAGTCAACAGCGGAAGAAAAGACGTGTACTATTAATTTCTGAATAAGGAAGGTATGATATGCAGTTCAGTATCGAATACACACCAGCTGAATAGATTTTTAGCAATTCAGTGTTAGTTAAAATGTAGTGCGTTGGGTTGTCCTTACCCATTTTAGTGTGAGCGAGAATTTATATGTATCTGGTAATGGTTAGATGAGTGTCCAACGAACTCCCTGAGGTTGCTTCACCTAAACTTTATGGACTAGGTGATTAAGTAAATGATTCTAGAGCTGGGCTACTTAAAGTGATATTCGGATCTAAAAAATACAGAAACTTGATAATGAGAGGTGGAGGCAGTCTGAGTGGGTGAGGGGTTTTATTCGAAAAGACTTTCCCAAAATAAACTGATACTAGAGTCAAAAGCCGGAGAGAACGATCTCACGATAATAAGTTTTAAGGTGATGAAGTTTTGGAAGCAGATGACTTATTACGGATGGTGTGCAACACGAAGCTACTTAAATGGTCTTTAAATGACCTACGTTCACCCAACAAGCTCTATCCTTATGTAGTGTTAAACTCTACCTCACAAACGTCACACTTTCAAGGATGGACATAACCTTGATTAGTAAGAAGGAAACACTGCTCACTGGAATATTGCCCCGTGAGAGTGGAGTATAAAAAGTAATTCCTGCCTGAAATTTAAGGGGTAAGGAATATTATTTCTTATATAATACTTTGTGTAAGTTGAATGACGGTTCTCACGTCAAATTCAACATTTCGCCCTATATCATAAAGTGACTAAGACTATGAAACTATAACGTAAATGTATGACTGAATGAACTTAAGAATAAAATTACTAGATAGATAATTTTGATGAAATTTTGTCAGTGCAGTCACAATTGATCACCACCTAGTGATCAATCAATTACAGTCACAATGTGTTCAACATTACGGGAAGTAAAAAGACGACAAGGCCTGATTCAAGTTCACAATTATCATTGATAGTAAATGCACTAACCCACCATTACCTGTCCACAAATACCACGAACGATCCCCTAAAAACCACGAATTTCCGCAATGTTTCAGTAGAAACGTCTACACCACTTGCCGTACAAAGGAAGTAATGTTGGAAAGAGTAAGGTTACTAGGCACTGGTGAGACCAAGTCTTAATATCGGAAGGTTAAAAATGCTTGTGCTAAAGATCTACTCAAGTCCAGAAAGGGGTCTGAAGCAATGTTTGTTTAAAATCATACTGAATCTTCTCGCATAAACGCAGGGTGAAGAAGAAAGGGAATTCACCCGGACTACATGGAGATGGTGCTGGCACACCATTAATGTAAGACGATTATGACAAGCTCAAATATTCTTAGGCTACTTTAGCAGCATAAGTATGGTATAGGCATTTTACTTTCAGGAACAAATAATACTTGATACTTCTGCTCTAGATATTACGACGATCAAAAATTCATTATTTCTTATCGGACAAATATCCTTATTGTAGTAAAACTCATGGGAGGGTAGTGGCTCTTAAGCTATATCATTCATTACTAACCAATAATTAAAACGAGTTTTATTTTTAGAACAGGTAGCCGCGTGTACATGAGAGCTAAAATTGCTCATGTTGTAAAGATACTAGGCAAGATCATTCTCCAAAAAGTTATTTTAGTGTTTGGGAAAGGTTAGATTGTCTCTGAAGAGCAGAATGGCTACAAAATAGGTTATTGATATCTCAATAAGCTATCATTGTGTTCTAAGGGGTCAGAAGTTAACCATACATATAAAATTTTTTAACTCCGTCAAGGCTTTTGATAAAATCCTATCGAATCACCGTCTACATTAGGCACGGTTGAAGTAATTTATGATTTTTGCTTAGTTACGTGCCAACGGAGAGTACGGATTAACTCTAAGTTATCTAGCCCAAAAACCATGTCTTGTTGATTGATATAGAGTACAGTTTTATGGCCAATTTTATTCTTCTTATATCCTTATGAATTTTCTAGTCTCTTCATGATCAGCCTTATCATATACTCAAGAAATAGGTAAGAGTGTGGTGAACGACATATGAGATTGAGAAAATCACTTCAATTATTAAGTTCGACATTGCATAGTTCTTTCGTAAAATATGAAAACTACACAACAAATACTTATTTGCAAATCTTTCATCGATTGTCTCAAACTCTATCGTTCCTTCATTGCTTTTACAATTACTCTCTGTTTGCATTACTATTCTCTTCAAACCGATCCTGTTAACTTTCTGTAGCCTGGCATTCCACTTCTGACATGTGTTACATGTTACATATGTCTGTCGACAAATGTATCATACACCACAGTAGGGAACGAATATTTCACAGCATCAAAATAACATGTTCGAAATTAGGCAGTTACTGCTTATTGCTCACGAATGCATTATAATACATGCTTGTGGCTCAAGAACAGATACATGTTCGACTGATACCCGTAATTTGCATGTGGTTAGGACATATACTTATCTAAGATCCACTGACAACTGAGACTTGTAAACCAATATTTGTTGCTATGTTTCAGCTGCTGAATGTTTAAGTAGACTTTATTCACTGCGTAGATCTTTGGTCTGCGTAGATGTTATGACATTTTCCACTCTGTTTACAGTGGCTGTTCGAACGAAACTCAAACTTCTTCGCCTATCCACTGCTTAATAAAGACAGATATGTTGAGAGAGGTTTGGTAAATAAATCTATTCTCCACGTCATGTAGAAAGAATAAGAAAGACACTTCCGCTGTTTTAGAATTACCCAGCCGTAAATTTCTGCCGTTCTCTGGAACAGAGTATTCACAAGGATACTCCCAACCGTTCACATGTCTGGAATAAGTTACCTACTAACCGAGTACCATCTTGTCCATCGAAATGTCAATCAATGGAACTCCTAACTTTGACATGCGGCTCAAGCCTAACTTGTCTATGGATTTCAAAAAAAGTTGAGCCCGCTGGAATATCTCCATCATTAGGATTAACAGGCCATCCTACCATTGACCTTTCGCAAACTGAAACTGTATATTTTGGAATATGTAAAGTAGCGGGGATATATTTCTGCAAAGTTACTCTGTCCGAGAGTTTATGTTTTGGCACCAAATAAATATATTCTGTGGCCTTAATTCAAATACCACATTTACTTATAGTGAAATGTTTCATCTCAAAAACCTTTGGATTCCAAGCATTATTGTAGAAGCACATTTGTCATAGCAGAAGAACCTTATCTTAAACTGTGTGTTAACTATACGATAGAAAAATCCGTTGAATGAAGGCTGAGAATGAATCGCAACGAACAATAAGTCTGCTAGGATTGTATGACGAGGATTCAAGATTGAAGCTACTTTTAGTCATTCGTGGGTACCGCTCTAGTTGAACGTTGTGTGTTCGCGTGTCTTCATGTGATAATGCCTCCAAGCCAGTATCATAAGCCGGAAACTGCGTTGACTAAAGCAAGAGGTATGTTGTAAACGTCCTTGCAAAAATTACATTGTTCGACGCGTCATGTCCCAGTGGGTTCCTTCCAGTTCTGGGAATCAACCATTAGCTATACAAAGCTCTAAGTGATTGTATAGATTTCCAGTTGAAGTCGAGCATTTACATTTTTGGTGTTTGAACAGTTACGTTAACTGTATTCTCTCATATGGGACATCGAGGCATACGAAACCAGTGACTAATCACGGATTTTGTTTGTTGGGAATATTTAAGAACTAGCACCATGAAAAACGTTTAGATTGTTAGCGTTATTTATTCTTTATTAAATGACGAGTTTTCTGGAGACCAGTTAAATGTCAATCTGCTCGTAGCGGTGTCACCGACGTGCAAGCATGTTGCGAAACTCGAGGCAAATTGTTGACGAGTGTTCAGAATTTGTGAAGCTCTTGACATAGTTATTAGGGCCCCATTGGTTATTTTTTTAGCTTTGCATACTTCTAGCCCGAATGAATAGCTAGTATCCTTAAGAAAAAAATTTAAACCCAGTGTTTGACACAACTGTAATACACATTTTTACGCTTTACGTTATATTTGTTAAGCATTATGTCCTCAGACACTGCTGCAAAAGCTATTTATCTTGTTGGTTAAGAGACGTATAACCTAGTGCTCAAGTTCTAACTATCTGCTGCAAGTTGTGTGGTGACCTCAAACACTTATTCTTTTTATAATTATAATATAGCTGTAAAGAACTAAATTGTAAAATAATGTGATGTGCAAGATTAGAGGGGAAACAGTTTCTGTGAGTTCTCTCGAGATATTACTTAGTCTGTAACAGATGATGATGATTATCTGGAGATGTTTCATAACCACTGCACAAGCTTAACGTACATATAAGAGCGTCACGAACTGACGCACCCTTGAAGTTGTCACTACTAATCTGCTATCCTTAGTTCATATTTTGTAAACAGTTCTATTGGTTCTAAATCCTTAAATATTCAGAAGTAAATCACTCTTGAATAACGTTGACTTCGTACGAATGTATAGTGATTCTAACTACAACAGGCGATTGTAGCAGCGTTTGCTGTGCTGGAAGTGTCTAGTTTCTGTTGATATTTCCTGCTTAACTAAGACTATTTAATTGTTAAAATGATCTACATTAATTATTGCACTTGTCTATGTAAGTTATTAAGGAAGATCAGCATCTTTTATTGTTTGGACCATATCCGAAGTTGAGTAACTTGTATGTCAAGTACATGTTTATAAACTCGACTGTGACGTAGATTATGATATGTTGAAAATATTTTAACCACCTACCTTCAGACATGATGGATGGGGTACAAGTATGTTAAAGCAAAGCTAATTGCAGTCAAAACAAGATAGTTTTCTTAAGAGAGCGCCAATATATATGCGCCACACAAAACAATGAAAATTCGAAGAGAAGTACAAAACAAACCAACTAAGGAGCGCAAACGAAAAAGAGACCAGTAACGAAGAGATTGGTATGAAGGTAGTGTGGTAGTAACGAGGGAACGAAAAGGTACAATCAGAAGAAATCTTTCAGGTAAGGGAGACTACCACTTTTTATGAAGAAAGTAAAAGGTTACAGCAGGATCGCCACTGGTTTCTATTCTGAGCCATATCTGATAACGTCTCTAGCCACTGTGTAGCACCATCTCTCAGACCCCAACCAGGGAGTCGTGAAAGACCGACTGAAGCCAGCCTTTTGCAACTTTCATACCACGACACCATGTCATGCACTGACCACCTCCGCTTCTTCCAACCAGTCCCAGAGTCGGCAAATAATGCACGACGTGGAATTCTCTGGGACGACATTCGTAGAACATGTCCAAGCCACCGAAGTCGGTGTTTCAAGATGGTGACACCAATTGCATTATCATCTCTGTGCCCGAACACACGATCCCGAACCTCTGCATTACTGACATGGTGTTGCCACTGAATGTCAGCAATCCTTCGGAGACAGCGATGATCGAACACAGAGAGTCGTCTAACGTCCTCAACTCGGAGAGGCCAGGTTTCGCAAGCATAGAGCAGAACTGCTCTCACCGACGCGTTGTAGATCCGACCTTTTACAGCCAGACTAACATCACGAAGGCGCCAAAGGTGGCCCAGATTGGCATAAGCCGCTCTGGCTTTCACTATTCGTGCATTGATCTCATCACTCACACCCCCACCAGCACTTATGCAGCTACCTAGATACACGAACATCTCGACTACATCTATATGCTCACCATCCAGGGTGAGTACAGGATTAGAATCATGCCAGTCTTGTAGAAGCACTGTGCACTTCGAAGGTTTAAGGCACATACCGTACCTACGGACATTGATTGCCAACTGATTAAGTGAGGGTTGCATGGCTTGGGCATTATCGCACAGTAAGACAATATCATCCGCATACTCAAGGTCGAGAAGTCTTTCTCCAGGCAACAGATCCACACCGCCATTGAAAAGGAATGGTGAGATCGGGCAACCCTGCCTAACCCCACTGCTGGAATGGAACAATGGAGAAAAGTGGTTGTTTGCCCTCACTCTACCTGACGTGTTTGTGTATAGGGCTTTTAGGATGTTAATAAACTTCTCAGGCACACCCTTCTTCAATAGACAATCCCAGAGAACAGTTCTGTCCAACGAATCGAAGGCAGCCCTGATGTCAAGAAACACTACGATTGTTGGCCTTTGATAAGTATGGCGGTGTTCTAACATTTGGCGGAGGGTGAAGATATGATCAATACATCCTCGACCAGAACGAAACCCAGCCTGCTCCTCGCGAGTCAATCTTTCTCCGGTTTTGAACAACCTACGAAGAATGACGGAAGCCAATAGCTTGGACGCAATCGGAAGTAGACTTATCCTCCGATAGTTGTTACAGGAACGACGTGAACCCTTTTTAAAGACAGGGACAACTATCGACTCATTCCATGACGTTGGTACACTCTCTAGTTCCCAAACCTTTGTAAACAACGTCGTCAATCCTTAGTCAAAAAGTCACCACCATCTTTAAAAAGAACCGGAGGTAAGTCATCTGGGCCAGGTGATTTGTAACGCTTCAAGAGTTGGAGTTCCTTGCGGACTTTCTCCTCATTTGGTGGATCAGTCGTCACCGGCCATGGAGGGCAGGACAGTCTGACCGATGTTGCCGGAGCAGCAGGCCAGTTGAACTGCCCTTCGAAAAATTCTGCCCATCGTCCAAGACGTCGATGGATGTTAGTGATTGGCACCCCATCATCATCGCAGATTGTTTCACTCACACCAGACTTCTTGCTGCCAGTGGCTCGGATGAGCTGGAAGAGCTTCCGGTAGTTACCAGATGCAGCTGCTGCTTCCAGCTCATTAGCACGCTTCGACCACCAGGCTTCTCGGTCCTTTCGCAAGCTTTGCCCAATTTCCTTACATAACATCCTTCGTTTATGGTCAAACTCACGGTCACCCGGAGTAGACCGACGGGCTTCAATGAGTTGTAAGGAGCCTGCAGAAACCCAGTGCTTAAAAGCGGGACGTTTCGCAAACCCACAACTGACTGTTTTCGCCATTTTCATGGCGTCATGCAATTGCAACCAATGCTCATCTATACTTTTCGGTGGAGTGGTAGCTAGCCTAGAGGCTAGCTCGGTTCGATACTTACTTGCAACAGAAGTTGCAACCAGCTTGCTAATACCAATCCGTTGACGGCGGTCACTTCGTTGTCCACTGAAAAGTAAGGCAAGATTGGCGCGGACCAAGGCATGGTCAGAGTCCAGATAGGTACTCCAAAAGGAGCGGCAGTCTTGTACACAACCACGCCAGCGGTAGCTGATCGCGATGTGATCAATCTGAGTACAGGCTTGAGATGCAGAGGGAGGACGCCAGGTGGCACATCGGCGATGACTGTGCCGAAAGTTAGTGCTAGCCAGAAACAGGTTGTAGTCTGTGCACAGTTGCAGTAGACGGTCCCCGTTATCTGACCTGCTGCCAACGAGTCCCCATCGGCCACCTAAACGACTCTCTTCTGTGCCTAGACGCGCGACCTGAGCAGTCAAGTCTCCGGCTAGTACTACAATATCTGTCGAACGCACTTTCTGGAGAAGAACAGATAACTGGTGGTAAAACTCATCCTTGATTGCATCCGGGCTGCAATCTGTCGGGGCATAGGCGGAGATGACGAAAAGACATCGTTTCTCACGCCGATTTCTTCTCACTTTGATGGAACTTTCTAATCTAACAGCACATAACCGACTGTTAATGGGGATCCAATCGACTAGTGCTGCCTCAGCTCTAGCGCTTAGTGCGACACCAACGCCTGCAAGACCAGACGAAGATGCCACAGGGTCCCCGGATAAGCGCACGTAAAACAAGCTTTTTGAAGTGACAGATGTAGAGCGAATTTGTAGTACTTCGCCAGGGTCTTGAATACGGGTCTCGGATAGACAACAAACATCAATATTAAGACTTTCCAGAGACATAGCCAGCCCTATCTGTTGTCCAACCTGCATAAGTGTGCGAACGTTGAAGGCAGCCAGTTTGAATGGTGCACGTGGTTCCAGAAAAACTGCTTCAGTACTCATATTCGATGGTAACATACAACTTTCAACCTGACAGTGACTCGAGAACGTTTAGATACAGTCGGATTTCCACCAAAGACGAGCCGCTGTATAAGTATAAAAGAGGGTGAATAATGTGGAAAATAATAATAATAATAATGACAATAATGGTAATAATAATAATAGTGCAAGAACAAAGATTGGTGCAGAATAATATGAATTCATTTTATTTCGTTAGGTTCTCATCAGCTGCTTACAACCTAAATTATTTGAAAATTCAAATTATTACAGATATTGACATATTTATATATAAGAGTGTGATTAAGGATCAATACATGTGTATGATGATCTAGCAATCATAACTTCCTCTTCTAGTGTATCGGAAGTACATATTCTTTCTGTTCTGTAAAACAGTGTTTTGACCAGTGCCTTTTTGTAACTGATTGGACAAAAGCTATTGAAATTAAGATAACTACCATTCCATGTGTCTTTCTTATAAACTGAACGTTGAACTTTACCATCTTTTCTTCTTTTCATCGCGATATCGAGAAAATGGAACTTGTTTTCTTTTTCATGTTCCATAGTGAAATGGATATTCGGATGTGCTTCGTTGAAAAACTCTAGCAGATTTATTGCATGTTGTTTATTATTACATACGATGAAGGTATCATCAACATATCTCGAATAATACGTCATTTCATCAATCGCTCGTTTGAGTTTGGTTCTTTCGAGGTTAGCCATGAAAATATCTGCTAGGAAAGGACCTAACGGACTTCCCATCGCTACACCATCGGTTTGTTTGTATATGATATCGTTGAACTGGAACTGAACATCTTTTGTACAAATGAGTAATAGTCGTTTGAATTCTGGTACTGGTAGAGGTAGGATGTCAGAATGTTGACAAATTATGTCTATGGTCTCAAGAAGTGGTATTTTTGTAAACAAAGATGTTACATCAAAAGAAACCATAAACTTACCGGCAATATTTATGTGATTCATGCTGTCAGCAAATACAAATGAATCCTTTAGTGTATAGGTGGCTAATCGCAGCTGATGAGAACCTAACGAAATAAAATGAATTCATATTATTCTGCACCAATCTTTGTTCTTGCTCTATTTAAGATAATAAAGGGAACTATGTGTATGAAAATAATAATAGTATTAATAATGACAATAATTGTAATGATAATAATTTGAATTAATCGATTGTTTTTCGAAGCGAGAAAAGTAATTTCCATAGACATAGAAAGTTCATCATTTGTGTGTGGGCTGTGATACTGCCCGGGTGCTCAAACCGAAGCAGGTGGTTATCTTGGGGGGGGGGCGGCCACACCCCGAGCCTTTGACCTAAAGGTCTAACCCACAAGGCAGTGGAGCATCGTAAGGAGATGCAATCCCATGGTAGCCGGTGACCAACGATTGGGTCATACGCCATTTGTTCCCGCAGGATACTCGAGCCCATGTGCACCATTGGTTTGGAATTCGGTTAAAGCGCCGGACATTCGCTTTTCGTCCTCTCATTTTCGTAAACAACACCCCCGCCACGAGAAGGCAATGAGTAGGACTTCCCTGGCAGAGGCTGTATACGCGTGGCCGTGTGAGATAGTTTTCTATAAAGTCATCGATTATCGGATTAAGCTGTGTAAGGTATCGACTACTTGCTTGTTGCAATGAGTAAGGTGGCTCAAATTTGGACACAGTGACGTAATTACATTAATATAATTTGATTTCAATTTCGAGATTTTACACTGTGCCACTGGAAAATTCTAATTTTTCAGTTTTCTCCATTTTAAGCCGTCTATATATTTAGTCTTACCGTATCAACATGAATTTCACTATTATTCGTGCTATTACACTACATGTTCTGTTAAATTCACCTCTACGTTGGTTTGTTAAGGGAACTCGACCTGTCAAGTCATCTGTTAACGTCGATCTGTGATAGCACCTATCTTCGCTCAAAAATAGAAAATCTTGTTTAATTAGTGCTAACTTTTGATATTTTTCCCGTAAGCTCAAGGTACAAATAAATGCCTGGTTTCTCTGGGTTTTTTTCATCGTGACTGCCATACAAATGCTCATTTTCATACATTTTACGAGTGGAGCAGTCACCAATTTTAAAAATTTCCGAATTTCAGTAATACAAAAGACGTTAAGATTAGTATTATACTTTTGCATGTTGTACATACGTGATTTCTATCTTTAACAAATTGGTCCGTAAAAGCGTTATTGCATTTACATTATTCTGTTTTCCGTTTCCATTTGCTTCGTGAGCTAATTTGTTAAACATCCTCTCAATTAACATGCATTATATATGTATAATTAACATTTTCTCCTTTTTATTAAATAGAACTTATAAAATGTGACAAAAAGTCTAACGCTTTGGAAATTTTGTACGAAGTGATGCGAGTTAGACGAACTAAACAATGGCAAAAGGTCTTAGAAGAATTAATGATGCTGTTTGTTGAACTTTGTGTAGAACTCCGTAAGAACATCCACTTCAGAAAAGCAATTTATACGTACAAAAATATGAGTGTTATGGTAATCTCTTTTCCATCCTTAATATTTTTTTCCGCTAATATCTATTAGGAAAACACTATTTCACTCGAGCAAGTTATTCGTTATTACCTGAACCAGATAAAGGGTAAAACTGAAGAAGCTCAAGAAGTGTCAAGGAGTGCTATCATGGAAATTGAGGATTTGGATGTCCTGGAAACTCCAGAAAGGTTTGTAGGTTGTGTGCATTTAGTTCTTCCTTACGTGTTTTCGAGTTTCATTATCATGCAATATATTTGTAGTATTTGTTGGTACACCTTTTTACCTAAGGACTGTAAGACATGGTTGTTAGTAATAGACAACATAAATATCTTCGGGCATTTTCATTGCATTCAATCTTTGAAGAAATCGCTTAATGATTTTCATATAGTTGTTTTTGGACCTCGAGCTCTTGTAGTAGTGGAGCAGGTCATATTCCGAACATACACTGAGAATTAGTTGGTTGCTACCAACACTCATATGACCAACCTACCTGAGGTATGGGTAAAATCCAAACAGGCTGTGACCTTAAAGTCAATGACAGAAAATGGATCAGCGGTGGTTTAGTAACTAGAAGCACTCAGCTTATAATCAACTGGTTACATTTTTGAAGCCAGTTACATTTACTTTGGCCCGCGAGACTATTTATTATCACTAATCCTCACAAGTACTGTGGCTAAAAAGCGAACAACCTAAATTAGATACTTGATAGGTGGCTCAGGGGTCACAGGCCCGAACCCTGCTCCACCTTAGATTTGAATGACAAGGTAGCATCACTATCCCTCACGTTTAGTATGTCTTGGAGCCGTATACGAACCTATACCTAGTTATAAGTTGGTAATAATTATTATTACTACTGAAACAGCTGACAAAAATGATCAGGAGACAATATGGACTTGCGTATTGCCATATAAATCAGTGATCGGAAACAGAATAATGTATCGTTTTTAGTTTTCATTACTAGTCAAAGACTAAATTTATGAAAGAATTAAGTTTTGCTTGCGTTTTCTACGTGTTGATTTAAGTGCTTGTTTCCTATTCTTTCCATTGTATAGTCTCATGTTAAATGCAGTTAGTATGGAGGGTACTCAAGACCGATCTGCTAGAACGATTCTGATGCCATGGTTAAAATTTCTCTGGGATTCCTATCGTTTGGTGCTAGATTTGTTACGTAGCAATTCGAAGTTAGAAAAGCTGTATCATGAAGTAGCTCATGATGGTAAGTCTTGGACATTAATAACCACTTTTTCGTACACTTTACAGCTTATAACTTCTGCTTGAAGTATGGTCGGAAGACGGAATTCAAAAAGCTGTGTGAACTGGTATGTTAATTCTTCATTTAACCATCACATTATTTTCTTCATACTTATAAAAGATTCGACAACATACTCAAAAAGTCCAGAATCAGTTACAACCTAATGCACCTAATGCTATAAATTTGAATAATGCCGAAACACAGACATTACACTTAGAGACTAGATTACGACAGTTGGATTGTGCTATGGAACTAGATATGTATAACGAAGCTTTTAAAACTGTTGAAGATATTTGGAGTTTTATGATGATTTCACGAATACATGCTATGCCTTCATTAATGACCAATTACTACTCAAAAACAGCGGAACTTTTTCGACGATGCGGTTGCCATTTATATCATGCTGCTGCTTTACACAAACTTTACACGTTATATCGTGATCAGAAAAAGAATTTAACTCGTGAAGAACTATCTGATCTTGGATCTCGTGTACTTTGTGCAACTGTTTCCATTCCTTTGCCAAATGCGAAACTGAATGCTGACAAATTCTTATCTGGCGAGTACACTATTATGAAGCAGAAAACACTTGCTGGACTTTTGGGTAATTTATTTCTAATAATCATTCGTAACATTTCACTGAATTCTAGGTCTCATTCAAGTGCCAACTCGTCAAAGTTTAATACGTGATCTGGTTCGTCATAAAGTGCACACCGTTGTCCCATCAAATTTAGCCAAGTTGTACCAAGTTCTAGAAGCGGATTTTCAACCTTTGAAACTTTGGGAACTTGTTCAACCAGCACTTGCCCATATTACCACCTGTTCAGATCTCCAAGTGTACATTACGCAACTGCATGATGTTATCGTAGCAAAAACACTTCTACAATTATCTCAAGTCTACCAAAGCTTGGATTTCAACGAATTTTTCAAACTATGTCCATTCATGGAGCCTATTCGACTTGAAAGGATTGTAATTGAGTTGATTCATAATTTGGAACTGCCTATTCGAGTCAATCATTTACAACAAGCGATTTTCTTTGATAAATTTACAGATCTTGGAATAAGTCAATGTGAATATGGTGGACAGTTAGTATCACAGGTATATTATGCTACCAGTTCCCTAATATTTAGTAAAAAGTTCATCTGAATGACTGGTATGAGTTTATGTGTATGTACATATTGATTTATACAACGCAAGTTTTAATCTTGTTCCGTCTATTTGCTTAACGTATATAATATGAACTTCAACAAGTTTAAAAACTAATTAATTTCTAACCTCTCGTTCCATTCTATCGATTCTCATTGTTTTACGCGAATATTCTTTGACCACTCACGTTATCTAGGAGTATAATATGTTATTTCTGTAGACTCTTGTATAGAAATTTAGATGTTATCTAACAAATAAAAGCATAAACAGCATAAACAACAAAACTACTAACAAAAGTCGTCTACTTACAAAACATAATTTACACCAAATGTACGAGATTACACGTCCTATGCAGTGAAAAAAATTGAGTCTAAAGAAAAACCGAAAAACGTATCGGTGCATTGTGTTTAATTTCAAGCCATATCATTTGAGTTCTTCAGAGATAGGTTGCAATTTCTCCTCATTCCCCAACAAGAAAGCTTATATTTCTTGGTAACGTTCAGGAAGCAATAATTCTATGAACTGAGACCACTTTACTCCTGGCCTTTGTAGAATTCATATCTAAACAGTTTTAATCGATAGTAGTCTATTGAGCCAATGATCAATTTTTATTCCTGCTCAGTACTCTGCGTCTAAGGTTAGCACGACTTACTAAGTTCATTGATCGCAAGTATTATGCTTAAAAATATCCATGATCAAACACTAGAAACCTAACCAAGTTACCTACCCTTCGAAGACCCTCGGCATTTATAAAATAATACAAAAGCAAACTGTTTTACGGGAATACTTCCTTTTTAACGGATAGATATGTTTCTCTTTATCTCATGTTATCAAAGTTGGTAAAAACCAATAAGTTTTTATGTATTCCTGCAAAAGTTTCTTAATGTTTTAGTAATCAAAATTGATAGGGCCCCTAATCCATCTACATAGCTTTTTGGAAGAATGGTAATCCCAACAACTTTCGAATTCCGATCAAATCATGCATTATCTGAATTTGTTACTGTTTAAAAATATCGAAATACAAAAAGCAAAAATAATGAAGAACGGAAAACTCAACTAGTACAAGATTCACTTTTTAAGTGTTGATAAATGTTTACACTACGAATATTTATCTAAAATCATATCACCTACGTAGTAACTTACTGATCGAGATACTTTTTCAAGCAGTAGATTACGGGCGGGTAAACTAGTATTTAGCATCAGTCGATGAAGTCATTGATAATCTGACTGAAACGTGTTAGTAGATTCAGACTGCATGGTTGGAGTCCGCGCTATTGTCGTAACTAATGATTGGATACGTTGTGTTACATAGCACATGATCGGCCATAAAAGCTCGGATGTATTCAATGTTTGTTTTCAAATATCTACACTTCTTTCATTCCGCGAATTTATTATTTCTTTCTGAATCATTTTACCTATGCATAATCTTATTTACTATTCTGGGAGTCTTATTGGTTTTTTCACCTTGTTGTGTTAGTATGTGACAACTTGAACCAACCCATATATGTGCTAGATCCTCGGTTATGTATGGCAGACTGACTAGTAAGCTTCATGTTCATAACTTTTCGCTACCTACGTTATTTTGGATAGGTTAGTAGTATCACCTAGTCCTTATGTAAATATCAAACGAGTTGCATCTATAGTTCTCAGTTGCTAATTTTCTTCTCATCTTTAAAACTCCAGATAATATGGTTTATTCATGATGTTAGATGTCCCCACTATTACAACTGATTAGCCATTGACCAATCACTTACAGGTATCTCAGTCCTATAGGTCATTTGTGATTCGAATATCTTGTTGGTAATATCTCAAACTATGAAGCTAGGCGACGAAGATTCGAATTCACGAGGGATCTCCAGTTCCCTTAAGGTTCTAGGTGCACTTTGCTGGTGAGCACCAGTTAGCACGAAACCTAGATCCAAGGTTTCCTACTGGATACCCAACGATAAAGTCTTTTTTGTTTCACTAGCCATTGTAGACTTATGTTTCCGACATCGCATATTGTTTAGTGAATGCTACAAACTACTTTTGCACTTTCGAGAGTTGAAAGTATCTGGTATACGTCAATTTAAATTTTGAGCGTTTTCGTATGTAAAAGTGTTTTTGATAATGTAACTTTATTTTTAATTTTTTTAGTCAACCCATGTAAATGACCCAGACAAATTGTCTCGTCAACTAACAATGTTTGCTCAAGTGATGCAACAGATAACTGATATTCTGGAAGTTGGTCAGTCTTTAGCTAATTGTCGACGTGCACTTGTTCAAGATTACCGGAAAAATGAAAAAGTCTTACGCAGTGAATTGCTTAATCGACGTTGTTTAATCGAAGCCCGAAAGGAAGAGATTGAGACGTATCAGGGTAAACGAGATCAGGTAATTTGTTTTTACTAAATGAAAAAGATGGTCGTTTGTAGTTTATCTTCACTAAAATAGTAAAAATACTTGAGCGTTCTTTATTTTTGTTTGCCACTCTAGTATTACAGCATTGTTGAAGCAAGACGTCAAGCGGAACAAGAGCGTCTATTGAAAGCGGAAGAAACCAATTTGGCCAATGAAGCTATACAACGTGAACGAATGAAAACTGAAGATGAGAAAGCTCGTCTAAAATTACGAATGGCACGTACTAGTTTGAAAATGTTCTTAGATTTAAAAATTGATACAAAACTTGATTTAAAAGAGTTAACAGAAGAACAGCTTGAAAACTTTGATGCAGATAAACTTATTAACAAGCAAGTATGTTATTCTCAGTATTATTTATCTATAAATTAAACTTTTATGTGTTAGATGTGTTTGTCGTTTTGCAAAATTTCCGGAAAATGCTCTTAAAGTATTGACCACTAGACTGGTAAAATTATTTCCTGGAAAATCAATACACCCTTGTTTACTCTCGGAATTCGAGTTGTTATTAAATCAATTATTTTTAGGGGGTTACAATGGTTTTATACTCAGTCAATGTTGGATTCTAAGTGAGACTAATCAATTAACCAAAAAATGAGTTTTGATCAACTGAAATAATGTAATATGTATGCTTATCTACTGACTATCTAGACGCTCGGTTTGTTGGTATATTTATAGGTCGGGAGAGAGCTAGACGTGGCCAAATTAAAACATATCATTAATCCATGAAGACACTGACTATTAAACTGAGCCCTGTGGGTAGGTTCAGACTACCTGGTTAGAGTCCACGTGATAATCATAATCTATGGTTAGAGACCTTCGGTGATTTGACTCAATATCATTCACAATGGTGCAGGTGCCTATATATATTTGTTCTTCTTCAGATCCTAGGTTTCTAATCAACAGAAATTTATCAAAATTCGGATTAAAAAAGCTTAATCTTTCTTCGCCTCCTCTAATTGTTGATTTCAGTTACGTTCAGCACTCTTTTGGTAGCATGAAATGGAATGTTTTTGTGTTTAATTTTTTTATTGCAAGTGTCATTTCTTGATTATAAACGATTATGTGTTGGGTTGACGGCAAATGTTGTTGATGAACAATTGTTGGTTTTCTAATATGAGACAAATCTGAACTTGAATAAACTATACATCTTACATGTAACATTTTAATAATTATCCGCTGCCACTGTAAGATAGAGTGTAAGAAAAACTAGATATTTGAGCACATCTTAGCATATATAGTAACGAAAGCGTGACTTTGAGGCATGCAGAAAAGTAGTGACAACTAATCAGAAATGGGCAAAGGTCATTTAATAAATTGAGTTAAGAAAGCATTCGCGGTTACCGTTATCCGTAAGACTTTAAGATTATTAACAAAATTTAAGTTAACACATGATCACCTTAGCAACAAATGTTTTACATTTTTTCCAGTCTTATTTTTCAATACATATGTCGATCGGTCATAATCAACGTAGAACCTGGTACATGTGCACATCGGCTTAAGTTGCCATACACCATTACTAAACCTCAAAGTAGTAGACATAGTAACAGCACTAACGGTAGCGGAAAAAAAATCAGGCATCGAAGATTCGATTCGGAAAGAAAAAAAACATGAGAGATTTATAATCTCTGGATTTGAGAGGGAGACAAAAAATCGGATGCACCTGCACCATCGTAAACCATTTAGACCCATGTCAACGAAAGCCTTTAATCTTTGATTACGATAATCACACGGACCTCAACCGAGTTGTCTGCACCCATCTACATGTGTTAGCGGGACACAGATTGGATTAAAGCATGCTCAATGTACAATTGTGTTGATGCACACTGATTGGCTAATTGTTATTTAATCAGCGCTAGTCGATATTCAGAGTACTCTCTCGAATCTTCTCATGTAAAAAGCTATAAATATCCTAGTGTTTTTCCTACTATGCTTCTTACTTCCATCTAACCTTGTTATTTGGAATATAATCGCTTTCCTGTTCAACCGTGTTCTGATTTGAGGACTTGTCAAGTGAATTGGTGTCCGAGAATACAAAGCAATAGGAATAGCTTGGTTTGCAATAAGAGAGAATTATGTCAATATGACTTAGTCTAACAATGAATATACATTTAATGAATAGTAGTAATTTTATTATTTGGCGTTTGTCTATGGTCAAGATAATTATTATTTTCCTACTTTAGTTTTAATCATTCTGTTTGTTTCTCATTGTTCAGAAACAAGAGGTGAAGAAAAAGAGAAAAGAACTAGCGGAGAAGGCTAAAACAATGGCGAAAAAATTGGACTATTATACACGTGCTTGTCGAATTGAAGAAATCCCATTGTTACAGGCAAATATTGAGCCGGAAGCTATTGAATCTCGTGAATTATTTGAGCAGAGTGTCAGAGAAATTGAGGAGCATTCGAAAGCCGAGCATGCACGACAATTGAAAGAACGTAATCGATTGATTCGAATGAAATCAGATGTCCAGGTATTCGTTTTTTGCATGTTTTTTTCTGTTTTCAAACTTCGTAGGTAACTTGTTCATAGCTGTTGTTTTAACTTATTTTGCAAGTACAGGTGTGTGTCCTTGACTTTGGGCCACACTTCAAGTCTTAGTGCTAGTAATACTTGCCCGGTTGCCGAAACTGAAGTAGGATAGAACAACGTTTAAATCTATGACTTAATAGCTGAAAGTGGAAAGCCCTAAAATACTAAGCAATCACTCTACTATTGTAAATGCTAACTCATAAATCATTTCATAGTGCTAGGAAAAGTGAAATATCTAATCTACTGACAGTTTTATCTTGAGTGATAATGTTTGGTTGTAGTACATGTACCCGAAATCTTTTAACGAGTGAATTCTTGAAAGTTTACGATAAATAAATTGCTCCTGTTAATTAGTTTTTAATACCATTTAAATAAACAATAATTCTTTTTTAAGTCGGATGTTCAGAATAAAAATTCACTATTTGGTTGACTGACTGTCTTACAAATTGTTACCTGTTGATGCTCCTTGTAACAGATTTTCACATTTGAAGCAACTTACGGTCTAATGAAAAGCTTATATATTTCAAAACACATTTTTAAACTGTCTTGTTAGCTTACTTTTAGTTGTGAAGGTTAATTCAAATTGTCTTGTTTTTAATGTCTAGCTTAGAACAATATATCCAAGGTTTAAAACCCGATTCACATATTTTGCTCGGTTCAGTCAGCTAGTTAGTACCGCTCACCTAAGGAGTTTGGTTGAAAGCTGTGTAACGTCGTATTTGGTAAATGTTTTACAATAGTCTCCCGATCGAAGCTGCTACCTTGACGCGGTGGTCGGGCTTGCCTATCGTGATGACCCAACCGAGCTATATTGGCTGGAACATATGTTCCTGCAGGTTCTACCATGCCAGGCAGGTCGATTGGCGAACGGTAAGACTAAAAGCAGCAACTCAAGGTCTGAGGGCGAAGTCGTACTGCTGACTGTAGAGAGGTGTGACAGCAGTAAGGTGTTTCCCTCGGACAACCAGCATGACAGCGATGCTGCCTTCCCACAAGGAGGGGTGGGGTTAGAAAAGGTCGACCCTAAAATGTCACACCTCACCTTACCTCACGGATTTCCGTCTCCGGCGGTAAGGCCCCTTGAAGAACGGAGCTAACACGTCAAAAACCTTCCACAAAAAGGCCGTGCGCGACCGGCCTCAAGCAGTTGTCCCTTGGGCTCTGCGGTCACGCTCCCAGGTCGTCAAGACCAACACTAATCCAATTTCCTTTTCAGGTTCCTCAAGAAATACCCTTCCACGGTGTGGGCAGCCGGGAAGTGACATCAGCCCTCATACCCGTAACAGCACAAGAGACCAAGGTGGTCACATTCAAATCCTTCCTACACCTCCTAATACCTCTCTTATCCTCCCGACTAACCCTCCTCACATCTCTTTATCACCTCGCACCGCTAGGGCAAACGATTCGAGTACGTGGAACGCCTTTCCTGGTCTCCTGAAACCACGCTCTAAACTACACGTAGGAGCTTTTAACGTACGAACACTTTGCCAAATAGGACAGCAGGCTTCCTTAGCTAAAACTTTAGAGTCTCGCGCCATCGATGTGTGCTGCGTCTCCGAAACGCGCATACAGGATCCAAGTAGCGTCATTCATTTGACCTCACCATGCCAAAATAAAGAACCGACTCGATTTACGCTTCGTATATCTGGAAGCCCTGATTCTGCTTCCCGTGGCCTCGCCGGCGTAGGTATAGCATTGAGCCCTAGGGCAGAACTAGCTCTCTTAGAGTGGATCCCAGTAGACAGTCGTTTGTGTGCTGTCCGACTGAACGGAACAGTAAGAATCCGGAAAGATAGGGACACTCGTCGTTGCCTCTTCGTCGTCTCTGCCTATTCTCCCACTGACTGCAGCTCAGATGATGTAAAAGATGAGTTTTACAGAAAGCTTTCGGACCTTCTCCGAAAAGCTAAGCGCTCGGATGTAGTAATAGTGGCCGGTGACTTTAATGCTCAAGTAGGTAAACTAAGCGATAAGGAAAGACACCTAGGTGGATCTTATGGTGTCGTGGCTCAAAGAACAGATAATGGCGACCGTCTGTTGCAGCTATGCTCAGATAACCGCCTGTTCCTTGCAAATACTAACTTTAAGCATAAGGAAAAACATCTTTTAACATGGAGACCCCCTAATTCGTCCCAACGTTGGACCCAAATAGATCACATCGCTATCAGCCACCGATGGAGGGGCTCGATAGAAGACTGTCGCTCATTCTGGAGCACATGCCTAGATTCAGATCATGCTCTAGTGCGAGCGCGTATTTGCTTGCGTCTTACTGGACGTAGGAAAGATCCTGCAAGGAAACCTCTTAGGGCCTTACTTAATGATAGTCAAGCTAAGAGTATATTTCAGGAACAACTAGGAAAACAGTTAGGCAGCCATATATGTGATGCCCACCCCGATGCAGCATGGAATGATATCCGAAAAGCTGTGGAAGCAGCAGTGATATCTGCTAGTAAGGTAAACTAGAAGGTTAGGGAGCAACACTGGATCTCAGCAGCATCTATCTCACTGATAAATGCTCGGAAACACATTCCACCTGGCTCTGAACATAATGAAGAGCGGAGTCAGCTTAAGCGCAAGCTGACAAGAAGTCTACGCAATGATCGCGAACAGTGGTGGGTAGCGAAAGCAAGAGAGATGGAAAAGGCAGCGGCAATAGGTAATAGCAGACAATTGTTTAGACTCGTTAAGGAAACCGGAATTAGGAACCCGACCGTTAGCGAAACAATCTCAGAGAAAGATGGGCATATTATTCATTCTCAATCCAGGAGATTGGATCGATGGGCAGAACACTTTGGGGATCAGTTCAACTGGCCTTCAGCCACACTTCGGTTTCCCACGATCTCCAGTCAACCTGAATGGCAAGTTAATGTAAGTCCTCCGTCCCTTTACGAAGTTGAAAAAGCCATAGGAAATCTGAAACGAGGGAGAGCAGCAGGCCCTGACAGGTTTACTCCTGAGATTTTTAAGGATGGTGGTCCAGTATTAGCAATGAGATTAACCGAGGTCTTAGGAAGAATTTGTGAACTGGACGTAATCCCATCTGACTGGTCTCAATCACTGATTGTGCCAGTCTATAAGAAGGCACAAAAGTCCTCTTGTGACAATCACAGAGGAATCAGTTTGACTAATATAGTGTCTAAAATATTAGCCTCAATAATACTTCGACGCCTAACTAAAGCTCGTGAAGAGCAGACTAGAGAAAACCAGGCTGGTTTTCGACCTGGACGTGGTTGTATAGATCAGATATTCACACTACTTCAGGTTCTAGAACACAGACACACATTCAGACGCCCCACAATGGTAGTATTTCTCGACCTTAAGGCGGCATTCGACTCTATTGATCGTGAGGTTCTATGGCAGTGTTTGTCACTGAAAGGAGTACCGAAGAAGTACATTAACCTTATAAAGGCTCTCTACTCGAACACAACTGGTCGAGTAAGAGCTTATGGCGAACTGTCATCAGAATTGATCACCTCAAGTGGTGTTCGTCAGGGCTGTCCACTCTCCCCATTCTTGTTCAACTTTGTCATTGACGTACTTTTAGAGATAACACTTTCCTCATCTAAATTTACAGGGGTTGAACTTCTACCAGGAGGTTCACTTGTTGACTTAGAATATGCAGATGACATAGTTTTATTTGGTGAAGACGCTGACAAAATGCAGAGTCTTCTGACCACTCTAAGCAACAATGCAAGCATGTTCGGGATGCGATTCTCTCCCTCGAAATGCAAAATGTTGCTTCAGGATTGGGTTACATCGACACCCGAACTAGTGATAGGGAGTGAAGTAGTTGAGTGTGTCGACCGCTTCACTTATCTTGGAAGTCTCATCAGCCCTTGTGGTTTAGTGTGTGACGAAATCTCAGCACGGATACAGAAGGCTCGACTAGCTTTTACCAACTTGCGTCATTTATGGCGTAGGCGAGATATCCGTCTATCAACCAAAGGACGTGTTTACTGCGCAGCAGTTCGTTCCGTTCTACTTTATGGCAGTGAAACATGGCCGGTAAGAGTAGAGGATATTCGTAGGTTACTAGTATTCGATCATAGGTGTCTTCGAAACATTGCTCGTATATCATGGGACCATCGAGTAAGTAACACAGATGTTAGGAAACGGGTACTAGGTAAGGATGGCAAATCAATTGATGAAGTAGTGAAACTTCATCAGTTGAGATGGCTGGGACACGTGTTACGTATGCACAACGACCGACTGCCTCGACGTGCTATGTTCAGTGGTATAGGAGTACGTTGGAAGAAAGCTAGGGGCGGCCAGACCAAAACATGGCACAAGTCCATGAAGTCACTGACAAGTGAACTGAGTCATGTTGGTAGGTGCAGACTACCTGGTTGGGGACCGCGAGATGATAGCAACCGATGGTTAGAGACCCTGAATGACATGGCTCAAAATCGTTTGCAATGGCGCAGGTGCATCCACTCTTTATGTTCTCCCAAGTTCTAATCTTCTGAATTCTTCATGAATCGACAACTGCATCTCTGTGCTAATGTGGTGTGGCAACTCGAACTGATGTACGTACGTACGAAGTTCTACGTTGTTACTGACTGACTGATAGTCTTCGACAATCGGGAAACAAGAAGCCAAGAAAGAATGAGTAAAATGCACAGTTCGTTCTGTTATCCTTTATGGTTGTAAAACATGGCATTCAACAACAGGATATTTGTAGGTTACCAATGTTTGATCATCGGTCTCTGACAGAGTGAGCTATTCCGAAGTTAGACGTAGGGTAATAAGTGACGGTATACTCTTTGGTAAATCAGTGGACCTTCATAAATTGAGAATACGGTCGGAACATGTTTCGCGTACGTCAAACGATCACCGACATCGAACCCCGATGTTTGCTGGTGTATTAGTAGATTAAAAGAGCTAGGCTTGTCCAAAGCAAAACGTCGTATCACCCCATAAAGTCATTGGTAATTAAACTAAACCATGTAGGTATGTTTAGACTACGTGGTTGAAGTACGTACAATTATCGAGATCAATAGTTTGAGGCTGTAGTTAACATGGCTCAAGACCAGTTATGATGGCCCAAGTGTACGTACTTTTTATCTTGAATTCCTGCTTCCCTTCATATATATCTTTCCATTGTCTTCCCAAGCCATATTCTTGGTCCTTACACTTTTGGAGTCAAATAAGTCAATAAGTATTCGCATTGATATCATTTCGATTCCCTTGCTATTTGTCTTGTGCTGATGCGATTGGATAATTTAAGCTACCACAAATTTGTGCCTAGCTCTACATTAATACTAACCGACTGACTGTAGGAAACTTCAATGTGATAGAGCAACATTTTACAAAAGTTTCATGAAATAAATCATAAGTGGCATACTTGGTTTCGAGGGTTCTGATCTTTACTCATCACCAATACTACCAAAATGTCGTAAATACATAATAGTTGGGTGCCTTCGTTGTGTTTACTGTCTTCGTTAAACCTTATGAAGTATCTCAAACGAATATCGTTTATCTATCAAATACTACTACAGAGTGTAATTACGGTATACGACTGATCGAAAAATTCTTTCTGAAGATCAAACGTTTTGTATAATTTCAAATTGTTTGAAAATAAATCCACGTTGTACTGGGCATTAATAAATCATAGAACTTGCCACACTTTTTCATCACTAATTTAATGATGGCATCAAACATTTGGAACTATTTTCCACCGTAGTTCTAGTTCCCTAAAGCACAATGTGATATGAACTCATTTAAAATTTCTCGATCATCAGTTTTATCACTCTGATGCTCCGGTGATAGTTCAGACATTTTTGTTTACTATGTACAATTGTAGCGTCTTGTTGGTCAATTAAAAGAAGCTCGTGATAATCGGTATAGAGCTAAATTGGCAGAATGGGAGGCTCTGTGTGACCAAAAACGATCGGAAAGATTGGCTGAAAGAAGAGCTAAACATGAGGCTGAATTAGAAGCTGAGGCACGTCGTCGAGCTGCACAAGAAGCACTTGAACGTGAAGAACAGAAACAACGTGAACTAGCTGCAGAAGCTGAACGTCAGAAACGAGAACAAGGTATTTCATTTTTCTTAGATTTTGTTTAAAAATACCAAATGTTATATTCTATGTTCTTAGACTTTAACTAGATATAACTGAGATCCCACATGAATTTGTATCACTAGTAGACCCAAACGCTTCTACCATGATTATTCCTATCAGAGTTAAAACAAAAGTTAAAACATAAAGCCCTAATCAACCGACCAAACTTGGGGGCAAAGAAAATATGAGTTTCCATTTATTAAGGTGCGGATTACATTGTATAATGTGTGTTGTTTAATGTTACCATAGGTGGTGAATTGGGTGAGTTTGTTTTGTCCAAATCGTCGATGACATATAAACAGTTACACATTAAAATTATAATTAACTTATAATTAGTCATGTGAATTAGTATAAAATAATTAATAAGTTTAAAGTGGCACGCTTATTTGTTAAATGAATGAGTGTTCAGCCTTAAAACATATCTGTATATGCTTGTACAAAATTCTTACGCAAAATCGCTACATGATTACAGATTTGTGTAAGTGTATTCTCTCAAAATTCAAAGTGAATCGTACCAGGCTTCTAAAATTGTTTCTGCTAGGTTTGAAGCGGTTATGAGTTTACTTAGTCTGCCAACAAAACAAAGACTTGTGACCAAAGACCAATAACTAGCTATTCTGTTGCGTCCCATACCCGCTTACTAGAGGGAGAAGTCGAAGTTCGAATGGGAAAGTATATTCCGCAAACTGCCAGAAACGAGCGATCATAACAGACACAAATCAAAACATATATATACAGAATAAAAACGTCCTTGGGAAGCGTTACAAAAGACACAACGGACCAATAGTGTTTAAGATTCTCCCAAGTGGGAAATGCGACATGAATGTGAAAAGAGCGCTTTTCGCGCGTAAACAAAGAAATTCAAATTTTCTAAATAAAATTACGAAATTAGGTCCTTTTCCAACTGAGTTCTTGAGATCTAACATCCCCAACAGTTTCACATTCAATCTTTCATGTCAGGATCAAATTCAATTCGTTGATCATTCGTATATGAGGATAACCGTTCGTTTTCATTATTCAGTAAAATTGCTATGCCAGCCATTTTCAAGTACTCCGTTCGTTAAGTGTCTCAATGCTACAGTGCAATTCTCATTTGGGACTTAATTTGATTCATTGAAATCTATTTGCATATGTCTTCAGTAAATACACTAATCTGTAGTGTATCTTGACTTACCGGATAAAAAAAAGCAAATAAAGTGAAAGTTATGAAATCATTAGTGAAAATTACCCTCTTCTATAGCATCCACATACTCAATGAATGAAAAAGAAACTCTAAATATTACACAAATACTGAATATTAAGAGGTAGATGCCCTTACAAATTCACAGATGCATATCTTAATTATTAGTTTGGAAAATAATTTTCCTGATAATGATTCAATGGTAACACTGACTGTTATCCTTCGTTCTATTCACTTCACCTATTTTGTATTGTTCACTTATCTCTTATTTCTTTACCACTAAAGTTAGTGTTCTTTAACTGTTTAATATTTTGGTTTCATTCTAACTTAATCACCCATCAACTTTGTTTACTTACGCCTGCTACCCCTCGTGGAGGAACATAGGCTGCCCACCAGCATTCTCCATCGAACTCTGTCCTAGACACTCTTTTTGATGTCTGCTTCCAATTCTCAACGCAATGCGTTCTTTGGCCTTCTTCTTTCCCGTTTCCCTTTGTTAACTTTGTTTATAAGTAATATATTGTTGTTTGTTCACAACGTCCAGTATCGTAAAGGCACAGAATTTATCATTCTCAACTTTTAATAAATCCTGGCACTTCATTTGTCTATAATAGAATTAACCAATAGGTTCTATCTATTTAATTTTAAAGTATATTTTAGAACGGTTTTATCTCAATATCTAGTCCATATTATATTCACTGTAATTGTTATATTCCTGTTAACGACATAGACACTACATCACACCTAATCAACATTAACAGTTTCACTTTAATCTTATCAAGTTTTTAGATGATAGGGTAATTAATTACTTACCCGTATTACGTCTTATGGAGCGTAAGTCGAAGTGATAGACTAGACTAATATATAATATTCAGTTAACAAAATAAACATTATCCATTGATGATAATAATTGTTAATTTTACTGACTACTTACGCCTGTAGCCCTTCTAGGGTTACTGCCGGTTTCAAGTCCGGATAAAGGAGAGTTGGTCATGGGGTCAGAAACCGTGTCCCGTAGAAAAAAACCTTATTAAAAAAAACACTAACCAGAATAAATTAGTTAAAACATTTTCCGATTGATAAGTAGTCTTTTATTATCTTTGCACTGTTTTTCTTTCCTCCTACTTCTTTCATGGATATATTATAGAAGCTAAAGAAGCGGCAGAACGTGAGGCTGCTCGAATTGAGGAAGAGTCCAAGGCATGGAAACGTGGAGATATTAAAAGAGGTATGTATTTGTTTCGAGTTATGCTTTTATTTTATTTTATTTGCTGACTTGCTGATATTCTTTATATGAGAAACTATTAAATTCAATAAAGGTAAAATCTAATGTGTAAATTTCTAAGTCAAGTAACATATCAATACGAAATATAATTACGCCATGTATTCATTTGGGAAATATCAAAGAAAAAACACTTCAACTTGTCATTCACTGTATTTTAAATAACAACTTTTTTCAAGAAATTAATGTCTTCCTCACTTATAAGAAATCAGTTTGTGGGGTTGAGAACCTATATCGCCTAACACGGCTTGGTCATGTATCACACATGCCTGAACATCGATTACCACGGCGCGCAATGCTGACTAATGTCGGGGATGGATGGTAAAATGTTAGGGGCGGCCAAACCAAAACGTGGAATCAGTCCACAAAGTCACTAACTCCTGGTCTGAGCCACGTTGATAGATGCAGACTACTTGGTTGGGGTCCGTGTGACTAGCGTAACCAATGGTTGAAGACTGAGTGACATGGCTCAGAATCAATCACAATGGCGTAGATGCGTACACTCTTTCCTTAAACCATAAAATTGAAATTGCTTTATGCCTTTGTTTCTACGAACTAGTTTTTGTTTCTTGTATTAGATCTTTATATGCAATCGTTCTTTTATATATCACTACCATTGAATTAACTACTATGAATTTGGTGTTCATCTTGTTGTGTTAATAAGGTGTGGCAACTTGGATGGATGCATATATGTGCCCGGTTCTACGTTGTAGCTGACTGATTGATAAAAAGCAATGAAAACTTATAAAAAATCATGCTGAACTACATTTTCATTTAAATTTGATTTCTTATCTAAGTATGTGTACACCTAGGAAATTGACATAGAACCTTAAAACCAATTAGTCAAAAAACTGAACCTTTGAACAAATTATTTTCCAATAGTTATCTATGACTTTCCGGTTGACAACGACTTCATAGCTGATATCCGTTTCCTTAAAATGCATTCTGTCTTCAAGTTGTAAAAAATATCTACTTTTAACATAAAATCTATCAGTAAGACTTATCAAAAGTTTAGTAAATCTTCTCTGACCAAGAAAGAGATATAACTTCAAGTTAATCGACTCATATCTTTGTTGTTTTCAGTTTGTAAATGATAAGTTCAAAGCGTATTAAAAATAATTTAATGAATTACTCTGAATACTCTAGATTTATAGACTAAATATATGATATGTTGGGATATATATTTTTTTGATGGGGTTTTGTTCTCTGAGCTGGATGGTTTGGTCGTGGAGTTTTTATCGTTCTTCTGAACGGAATCATCAGCACAAACTTCAAATAGAAGTCAAGTGTTCGAATTTCTCCATATGCATATGGAGAACGATGAAAGCTCCACGATCAAACCATCCAGCTCAGAGAACAAAACTCCATCAAAATCACCCACCTGATCTACAAATCTTCTCCACCATCTCATATATATTTCCTAGATGATTATGCGAAATACTCATTAAACCATTGATTAAATTATGAGTTTACTGGCATGCACAAAATAATCATCTCCTAAAAAAGAGTTGGATGCTTTACATATTCATAAATGTGGCAAAATTAGTTATCTTTTCTGTTGTTTAATCAACCACCAGTTGGTCCATTAGAAAATTCCATACAAAAATTGATTACACAAAACACTTACAATAAGCCGTACCTAACCTGTGCTTCAAAATATCAGTTATCATCAATGTATGAGGTGGAACATATGTGGATCAGTTCAAGATGCCACACTATATCATCATAGAGAGATAAAATCAAAAAATTGTCAATGTAGTGCAAGTGTTAGTATTTAAAAAATTGTACATAGAAAAAAGTGGTTTATTTAAATAAAGTTTATAAGTTCTAAGGAAAAAGAATACTAGTGGACGGCCTATGTTTACAGTAGTAAGTAAGTTGAGAAAGAGGAATTGTGAATGCGCATAGACTATTGTGACTGATTCCAAACCATCTCGCCCGTCTCCAATCACCGATTGGCACGGATCGCGGCCCGGCAGTTCATAGGTACATGGCTAATGAGGTATGGCAACTTGGGCCGATGCATATATGCTTGGTCCTACGTTGTAGATACATATATATCTTCATTAAATCAGAACCTTTTGCAGAAACAATAAACCCATGAATTAGAACAGTCATTATTCTTGTTATATCCCAATGAGTCGAAAGTTAGATTTCTGACGTTTCATAATTTAATGTCAGTCGTCTTCTTCAGCGTAAACAAATGACCGGATTGAATCAACACAAGTTTACATTATTATTATTTTATTATTTACCCTGAAGAAGTGACTTATATTAAGTCATCATCAAACGTAAAAAATACAAATTTCCACTGAATAGGACACCACAAAATTTTAATTACTGAATATTTTTTTCTATTAAAAACTGTTTATTGACTTTATCATGTTCAGCCTTGGCATTGTCACCTATATTCTGTTTATATAAGTCAGTCTGTAACAAAGTAGAACTTCGTATGTAGGTACATCAGTTCGAGTTGCCATACCACATTAGCATAGAGATACAGTTGTCAATTCAAATTCCATGGTGGTGGAGGTAGTACGAGTATAAGCAGTAATCGGAAAGATTAGGGTTTGAAGATGTTATTCAATGAGTATAATCCAGTGAAATCAATTTGGAAAGAGGAAAACAGGGACATGGAAAATTCGGGAGACCACAAAAAGTGTATGCACCTGCGCCATTGCAAACTATTTTGAGCCATGTCATTCAAGGTCTCTAACGATCGGTTGCTATCATCTCGCGGACCCCAACCAGATAGTCTACACCTACCGACATAGCTCAGCTCTGTTTATATAAATCTTAATTCAGTTGGAATAGTTTTCATTTAAATAGACCGTTATGTTTAGAGCCATAGAATTAAAATTATATGCCTGTGAATGAAAAGGAATAATTCTTAAATCAATTGTTATTCTATCTATTTTTTACCGTTCATATCTGTACGTAAAACATGCATCTTTCAAAATTCATACCCAAAATTTAGTTACTATGACAAGTGGACAATTATCTACTGAGAAATCTGAAGCTGATATCAATACATGTATGTGAATTTATAACTGTTGGGTTTTTTTTCTTCCTTTTCAATATTCACTCACTGGCTAATTAATAATTTCTTTTTTTGTTTGAAAAATAAAAAAAACACAACAATATTCAGATGAACCTGTATCGGTTAATCCTTTTGCTCGACATCGTCAATCTGAAATTAGTAGTGCTTCTGGTAACGCATTCCGTGGTAAGTTTTTTTTTAAAGTTTATTGGATTATAAGAATTTAATGCATCCGTGCAACTCAAACTTATTTACAATGAGCAAAATTATTTCTGCGTTTTTGTTTCCTACCCCCTCCCATTCATTAACTAAAGAGAGAGAGAGAGAGAGAGAGGAAAGTTCAGTTTTCTAATGGAACTTTACTTACCTGTAATGGCTTCAATATAAGTAAAAATTCATTTTTAGTTAGTCAGTTGTAATTACTAAGATTTTTGAGCGGAGTAATTGTCACTAAATAGTGAGTTAGTAATGCAACGACAATGTGATCTTACGCATTTAACTTAAATTAAAAGACATATTCGGGTATAGGAATATAAGTGAATGTTATATATATGATTGCTTATAACTCATGTCAATAATTAGTTATTCTGATCTATAAAACTTCGTTTTTTATTATTGGTAGGATTTGTTCATCATATGATCTAATCTTTTGTCTCAACTATCTAGTATCATATATATGGATCTAATATGCTCAGTTTAGTTTTTCGAACGTGAAACATAGTTATTTCATATTTATCATCTGTTTGTTGTCGCCAGACCGTATTACTAATTTTTGATTGGTGATATAACCAACTCAACATTTGATACAAATATACATTGACACAGTGAAATAAAAATAAGTAACAAGGTGTACAACTTAAAACAGTTGAAATAATAGTAGTATAACTTATGATGTTTAAAATAACTAAAAACTGTTAGTATGGTTTGTTTGAGGATGGTAGATCACCAATAATCACGGTAAACGTCTCATTCTTGTAATTTCATTTTGGAAATTTGAACTTCTCATATTCGACCAAAAATACCCATTTTCACTTCCAGTCTGTATTTCCCAATCGGAAGGACCATAAATGTCATTAGTTCGTCTCCACTTTTAGTACGTTATTTTGTTATGTTTCCAAAAACATTTTTGTACTGTATATATACGCATGAGTTGTGTGCTTGTTCGTTCGTGCTTCCTGGTGCTTGTGGAATATACAACACCTTTTTCCTGAAGCTAACACAAATTTACAAACTATCGTTCTTAATTTCACTTCAGACTTTCGACGTGATGATACGTCAAGATATTCAGATTTTGGTCGGTCATCGGGAAGTAAACGAGGTAAATCAGATATTTTTTCATAATAAAAACAAACATTTTATTCATGTGCGAAGAATCCCTTTGTTACAAAATTTTTTTCATTTTATTTATATATACATATATAGTTGGTTTCGATAATACACCAACTCTCCGTAGTGATCCTTCCAAAGATACTTGGAGTCGAAGTGGTCCGCGAAGAAGTAAGTTAAAGCATTATTCTGTATATATATATATATATATATATATATATATATATATACCGTCATCTTTCGCTACTGAAATCTTCGCTTTTTTTTAGCTGTTCCTTCTGAATTTGATTCGCTTCTATATGAAGATGACTCTGGTAGCGCTGGTGGTTGGACTCAGGTTGGATCACGTAGAGGTAAGTTTTTTGTTGCTTTTGGAAACTTATTCTCTAAATGCTCTCATACGACTGAATGTCTACAACTTCTGGTAGGGAAATCCTCACTGAAAGGGTGTTTTCATGAAAGTGAAAGGTAGAAAAGCTGACTTGTGAAGCTTAAATCAAGTTGTTGAATAAAGATAGCTATGGTTGAAAAACCTTAATTCCAAACCAATACCCTTCATGGTCTCAGGGATCCTAAACAAACAACAATTATACGAACCTGTTTTAGTCACCGGCCACCATAGAACTATATCACCTGACGTTGTTTCACTCTCTTGTCGGTTTGTCTTCTAGGTTATGTAGCCTCGTAAAAGAACTTCTGGCTTCTATTTCGTCAGTATTTCAGCCCAAACACAGATAATAATACGATTGCCATTGACAGACATGTTCTTCCTTCGTCACTATCCAACCTCCCATTCCATCAATATGCCATTTTACTTGCTTAAATAAAGTGCGGCACGACAGGTTCAATCGGTTGTCACGTGTTTACCATTTAAGGCTCTCTCGTGGATTATTTATTAATCGTAATTTTTTCGGATTGTTCATATCGAATTTAGTGTTTCTAAACAAAGTCAGTCAGTCAGCTACAACGTAGGACTAGGCACATATATGCATCGGTCCAAGTTCCCATACCGTATTAGCACAGCAAGATGAACACCGGATTCATAGGAGTAGTTAATTCAGAGGTGGTAATATATAAAAGAAAGATTGCATATAAGGACATAATACAGGAAGAAAGATTTAGTGCGTAGAAAGATATGAAGCCATTTTAATCTCATAGTTTAAGGGAAGACAAAGAGTGTTTACACCGACGCTATTGTGATCGATTCTGAGCCATGTCACCAAGAGTCTCCAACCATTGGTTACGATAGTCACGCGGACCCCAACCAAATAGTCTGCATCTACCAACATGGCTCAGACTAGAAGTTAGTGACTTCAAGGACTGATGCCACGTTTTGGTTTGGCCACCCCTAACTTTCTTCCAACCATTTCCAATTATTATTATTATTATTATTATTATTATTATTATTATTATTATTATTATTATTATTACTATTATTATTATTATTATTATTATTAGCTTTATTCAATATTATAATTTTGGTACAATATAGAATTCTCAGCGCAAAGTATTTCAACAAGTTTCCGTTTCTTTCTTCTTGGTCGGTCCTGGCGATAAATATTGAGGAATCGCCAGTTAGATGTTAGCACTTCAGTGAATGAACAACTGAATAATGTACATTCTTTTCGTCGTACATTGCCAGCAACCATATTGTCTCTTATTGAGTTTTCTGTAACTTTGACAACGAAAGGTTGTACACTTTTCAGAAACGCAGCAGAATAGGTTATGCGATTAATAAACATAATGATATATTAAAACAAACAACAATAGATAACTTGTTGAAATATCTAGATGGCAGGAACAGGTAGCCCAGATGCTCAAGCAGGCCGCCCTTATATATAATTGTCGTGGTAATCGGTGTTCAGGCATACGCAACACGTGGCCCAACCATCTCAGTCGATGTAGATTTACAACCTCATCAACCGATTTTCCATCATTCCCTAATACCCTGCGTCAAACCTCACTATTACCTACCCAGTGATCCCAGCAGATGCCAGAAATATTTCTAAGGCATCTGTGGTCAAATACTAGTAACTTACGGATGTCTTCTACTCTTAATGGCCATGTTTCGCTGCCATAAAGTAGGACAAAACGGACTGCCGAGCAGTATACTCGTCCTTTTATTGATAGACGGATATCTCGCCTTCGCCATAGGTGACGTAAGTTGGCAAAAGCCAATAGAGCTTTTCGAATCCGTGCTGAGATTTCGTCAGATACCAACCCATTAGGGCTGATCAGACTTCCAATATAAGTGAAGTTGTCACCGCGTTCGACTACTTTATTCCCTATCCTTAGTTCAGGTGTTGACACAGACCAGTCCTGAAGCAACAACTTGCATTTAGAGGGAGAGAAGCGCATTTCAGACATTCTGGCATTGTTGCTTAGTGCTACCAGAAGACTGCATTTTATCAGCGTCTTCGCTAAACTGGACTATATCATCTGCGTATTCTAATCGATAAATGGACATCCTGGTAGGAGATCAATGAACGAAAATTCCGCCGACGAGAACGTTATTTCCATCAGTAGGTCTATGATGAAGTTAATCAAAAATGGAGGAAGTGGACAGCCTTGATGGACACCACTTGAGGTTGCAAAAGCAGATGACAGTTCGAACGTGTATCTTATAGACTTTTTTCAAAATGTTTACCCTTCATTTTTTGAAAGAAATTGTGTTAAAAATTAAACATTGTTTTCTGAACATAACTTTGATGTTTAATGAAGTGACAGGGGTACTGAACTCAAGTTTTTGTATGAACTTCAACAGGAGGATGCAGGAGAGCGATGAAACACACATCGCAAATTTCACTGCTTAACACAATCAACATGTATTTTAAAAGTTTAAGTGAAACTTGAATCATATTATTATTTTAATTTTTAATTTTCTATTGACGAAGTATTCCAAATTACTCAAAGAAAAAGAAAACATACGAATTCACTTAAAGTGTCATTGTCCATCATCTGTACACCTATAGTATTCGAAATTCATACTGATCTTTAATTGTGAAATTCTGATGTGGTTTCAGTTAGTCGATCTGTACAATTATTATTATTCACAATTGAACTTGGCATCATTTATGCAAATATTATTTTATATTGTGACAATCTCTAACTAATTTGTAACTTAATTTTTAATGATTCTAATTCAGCATTTAGTTTGCTGTCACCTTATATTTTTTATCCAATAGCTTTAATCTAGTGACCAGTTTTCACGTACTTACATAGTGCTTTGTCTCACTTATCTTTATCAGCTCATATCATTTAATATCACATAGATTTTAGACATGTTCAAGTAGGTTTGACCTGTTGAGTAGTGCTGATTCGTCAAATCTTCCAATATTTTCTTACTGTGGAAAGCTGTTTTAGCCAACCAATCACCGTTGTATTACTTATTGGTTGAAACAGTCTACTTTTACTTATAGCACAATATGGACCTTGATTACATTTTCTATCTACTAATAATAAAATAGTTTTAGGGATGGGGTTGTGGAGACTGCCGAATTTTATTAAAATCACGAACCGATCTTAGACAACCAGTGAAAACCTCAAAGCCCTAAACACCTGTTTCTTGCTAGACTGGGGCTCTGCAGTAGTGTGTATACGTGACCCCGCAACCGGGAGTGGGACCCAGAACTCTCGGTGTCATCCCCAATCGCCTAACCCTTAGACTACTGGGCATCTAATCGTGTACAAGTCTGATTTGAATCGCTCCATGATAGTGCTTGACTTTATTTTATTGTTCTTCATACCTCGGTTTTCTACAGTTGCCTAGCTTTAATTTATGGTTTCAGTGAAAGTCAACAGTATCCGTTACCACATACTGTTAATTATCATGTACTCGCTAGTGAATTACTTCGTAATCTTATAAACCTAGTTTCTATGTAACTTTTTTTATTTGTTATCTATTCTTTGTCTTTTGTATATTGGGATATAAGCTACTAATTTCACTGTCTTGATATACCGCCCAAATCTTAGGTTTGTATTTCATATATTTTCGAAATGATTATTATGCAATAATTCGTCTGTCTTATTTGATGATGTGGTTTCGCAGACCCATTATATGACAAATCATTGTTGTTAACTTCTTCAGCATATGTATATTTCTTCTTTTTGGTATTATGAACCATGTATACTATGTACATTCTCACCGATTTATTTCGGCAATTAATGTATTTCTTTTCTTAAATAATTATAGAAACTGAACGAACAAGACCATTCGGTAGAGGTGGTAGTACAATGGGTGGTGGATTCAATAGAGCGTAAGAGATACATATCCTGACTGATTGGTTATTTGTGTTTTTCTTTACATTTAATCAGTTATTATATAAGTTCTAATTGATTGTGTCATTCACTTTCAACAATAATGATTAGGATATATCAAATTGACTTGTCAAATCTTATAGATTGTTTTAAACTTATAATCTTCAAAAGGGATTTAGTGATTTTAGAGGAGTCCCTTACTAGGACAAAACGGCCGTTTAGTGCTTCCATGGTGGTCTAGCTTCAATTGACTCATGATTTCAGTTTATCCGAATCTGATGTGCTAATTTAGTGAAGCATAAATTCAGTCAATATTATGCAACAATGCTCTAATTAATACGGCTTGTTTGTGCTTTTATGATAAGCGACGATTAAGAAAACACTTCAAGGTATCAGCTACTGTTAACAAAAATAATTATTCAACATGTAGAGTTTATTTTGGAGTAAAACATACTTGAGTTTCAAGTGTCTTCAAAACATCGCTTGCATATGGTTAAATCACTGAGTAATGCTGAAGTGAGATATAGATTATTGGGTGGTGACTATACAGCTTTGAATTCTTATCGTCTGAGTTTACATTGATATGTGCTAGACATATCCAATCATGACTTGCCTCAACACATAATGTTGACTGAAGTAAGATTAAGTTGGAATAGAAGACTTAAGGAGCTCAAACATCAGTTTATGAAATCATAGACTGTTAAATTCAGTTGTATCGGTACCAAGACCAGTGATTAAAGACGTTGGGTTTGTGGCAAGCCCATTTGGCCACTGTATCATTTGTCTATTCATTGTAACTCAGACTCTTAATTCACTATGTTAATTTCGGTGTGTATGATCGAATGCATGACTGTACATTAACCCTTAAGCTATCCTCCTATTGGTTGTAATGTGCAGATAATCGATAATTTATCCACACCCGATTAACTATCAAAAATATATATGGGTTTTATACACACACACTCACTCTGTTTCATCGTGTGCTTACTCCCTGTACGCTTGCGGATTTTTATTAACCGTTAACAATAAATTATCTCTGCAACTGGTGTTCAGGCTTCTCAATAATCTTGAGTAAATCCGTAATTCTACTAGGAGATTAAGCCTACCTTAAATACTCAGTTTACGGGATATTATTTATTGGAGTCAGATATTGAGGACATTAGCCTCAACAGGTTACATGGTTCAGAGTCAGCTATAATGACCCTGAATTGAGTCAGTTTATTACACGTGTATCTTTTCTCGAACAGTACCATCTAGACCAGTCAGATGTAGCTCGCATGGTAGGGGTATGCTGTTGGCCGGGATTCAACCTCCTTTTTAAGTGATCAGACACACCCCATTAGTTTGAATTTCAGCTTTACTATATCGAAGACAAAGATGTATATACTAATAAATATACACATATTTCTTATTTCAGTTGGAAAATAAAAGTTCCCTACTCTTGTATTTCTCATTGGAGTAGCTGATCGGAATCGTGTACCAGAATCACACACTGCGCAGCATAACATTATTCACAGTTTTATTAATTCACTAAAACATTTCGTATATGATAGATATTCTGAACAAAAATTTAAATCAATTTACTAGTACATGTCAGTTTTAATTTAAGTAATATCTTTTACTTACTTACGCTTGTTACTCCTCGTGAAGAAGCATAGGCTGCTCACCAGCATTCGCCATCCAGCTCTGTCCTGGGCAATCCTTTCCAGTTATTATTCATCCTTTTCATATCTGATTCTATTTCTTGACGTAATGTGTTCTTTGACCTTCCTCTTTTCCGTTTCCCTTCAGGATTCCAAGTTAGGGCCTGCCTCGTGATGTAGTTTAATGATTTGCGTAATGTATGTCCTATCCATTTCCATCGTCTTTTCCTAATTTCTTTTATAGATCCTTATTAAATTTCCTTTGTTTTGTTTTATTTTCCACTTATTCTCCTAGATCTAAAAATCTGGATATGGACACTGGTAGCTCAACTCCATGGCGTAGAGAGTAAGTTCGTCTAAAGTAGTTTTTGTGCAGTCAGATTTTTGAGTAGCTATTCACTTTCTACGGTCAAATTACTGCATTGAATTACAGAAATTTATTGATTATTCTGAAGGCCTTGTTTCAGTATCACAATTATTACGAAATTCGAATGAAAGTTAAATACTTTTCATCATTATGGTAACAAGTGTATAGGTTACTTAGTCAATTTAATACTGTAACTCGGTAACTGTGTATGGGTTTTTGTACTCATTTTAAAACAGTTACGCTTTGCATGTAAGTGATAGCAATAATATCTGAATGTCTTGAACATTATAAATGGCTTCGTCATTAAAGTTAAATACCTTAAATTATTAGATTACGGATTCACCCCGGATAACCAGATCTATATAGTTTGCTTTCAAGCTACTCTATATAAAGGTTTGTGATTCTATAAATCTGGCCAAACCGAAATAAATAGAGAAGCCTTTTCAATCAGTGGGATACCTCATTAATTTCTTAAACCACTATGTCATTCTTCTTGTCCCTTATTTGATCTGAATAGTTCTCATGATTTTTTTTGCCTTAACCTATTTTCGTTTATTATATAGAGGTCCAAATGCCACAGCGGGCAAATCACAAGTTTTTGAAGAAATGAGAGGTGGTAATGTGTAAGTTTTATGTTGATTTTGTTCGTTTCATTATGTCAATTTGTTTCGAAATTTAAAAAAGTAACTTCATATTTCGTGAATTGACCTTAGATCAAAGTATTTGTAGGATATATTAAGATAAAGTGTGTTTGTGTACTTGTAAATCCCCATAGTTTCGATATGGTCAGTTCAACTACTGATTTCATACATGTCATAAATTTTATCCAAGTGTTTCATTTTATAGAACACTACATTTTTTCGTATTGGTATATAATTGGTCAATGATCATCGTCGGTTTGTGTAGCAACAATTAGTCATAATCAGCATAGTTCCTGGTGAATATGTGCATTGGTTCAACTAACTATGCTATATTAGGACGAGATGAATGTAACCTGATGAGTTATGCTAGATCAGAATAATGTAGTAGCAATCAATATTGGGAATATGATCCAGAGAGATGGGATTGAAAAGATACTCTAAGTCATAATTGAAAAGATGAGAAAACGTGAACCAATTCTAAACCGTGTTGTACAAAGTCTCCATCTATTGGTCGCAGTTATTGCACAGAAATTAGCCAGGCAGTCTAAACCTACTTACATGGTTCAAGTTCAGTGATAATTATGTTCATGGATTGGTGCTACGTTTTTGGTGTGGCTACCTCGAGCATTTTTTCCAGCTTGCTCCGACACTAGCAAACATCGCCCGTTGAGATAAAAGTTGATATTATTTGTACCTTCGTGTATGATCTAAAAGATATGATGATAATGTAATTTATTCACAAAGTACTGTTTAAGTGATGTCTAGTTACATACTACTACTAATTGGTTTCCAAACCCTTATTAATAGTATAATGGTCAGACCTGCAATCTGTTGGTTAAACTCAGTGTTTTTACCACTGTCCCCGTTGTTCAAAAGTTTGGCTGTGGTTTATGTTAATAAACCGATTGGTTACTGTGCGCACCTATACAATGTAATCGAGTGGTAGCTCCTCACGAGACAAAGTTACTGATCCCAGCACATAGATGTAAATTGTGATAAAACGCAATCAGCATAGTACGTTTTTGTCTTGCAAGAATATAATACCTTAATATAAAATAAACATATGAGATATCCTATGTCGAATGAGCCCCCAAATGCTCTCACATGGCCACGCGTTTTTAGCCTCCGTCATGGAAGCCCTACTCACTACCTTTTCGTGGCGGGGGTGTTGTTTACGAAAGGCGAATGTCCGGTGCTTTAACTGGATTGTTGGACACGGAGAGTCCACCTAGGGTAGTTGGAAAACCGTGATTCCAAACCAATGGTGCACATGGCCTCCAGTGTCCTGAAAGAACGAATGGCGTATGAACCAATCGTTGAAAGTGCATCTCCTTACGATGCTCCACTGCCTTGTGGATCAGACGTTTGTGTCGAAGGCTCCGGGTGTGGCCTTCTAAAAATACCACCTGCTTCGGTTTGGACACACGGGGAATATCACAGACCTCACACAAATCAAATGGACTATTACTAATATGTTTTGTGGGTCACTAATTTGCCCGTATAATTAAGACCTGACCATCTAGTTCAATTCTTGCGCATCAAGTCAAAAAGCATCAGTTTCCACATTTCATATCCCAACTATTCACTTATTTATCGTGTGAGTGAACAATAGTCCACCATCAATTTCATTCTGTCAAGTAGCCTTATGTTTTAGATGTATATGCCAAGTAATTTTTAGAGAGATCAGCCTTAGGTCACCGCACTTCCCATCAAAGCTTAACATCTTCAGTGTTCTCACGTATTGGTTTAATTGTTCAGCGACAATAGCAATCCCAACTCAATAATTTTGCTAGGAAATTGACCCTTGTTGAACTGAGTAGATAATACTTCTTACTACAGTTTTTACTGTTCCTTACAGTTCTTGCACTCCTATTTTCTTTGCGTGTGTGACATCCATCTTGGTGTCCTATTTTGTAACGAGTTTTTTCATGTAAATACTAAACAATTAAACTGTTCGCCTATATTTTGTAAATTATTGAGAACAACTCTTAGAGAACAGTATTCTCATTGTTGCTGCTGCACGTTTCCACTGAATGTTTTAAAGGTGTATATATAATTAATTGTGAGACAAATTTTAACAATTAACTTGTAATCGCATTGTGCGAAATGTTTATTGCCATAATATGTATCACATAGTTTGATGATCATCTCATTCCACTAGCCAGTTATTGTTGTTGTATCTTTTGTTGTTAGTTTGAAAGATTCTCAAATGAATTTCATAATTTTTTCTTTACTCTAAAGGAAACGACCTTTTGGTAGCTCAGGATTCCCTTCACGACTTTCTAGGTATGTTGTTGTTTAAAAAATTGGTTTGCATAGTCATTTTTCTTCAACCCATTTGAGATGGTAATGTCCTACTTTATCTATCTGTTAATGGGTGTTTGGTTTTGCCTACGCGACTCTGGCTTGTCATATAGATCGGTTTGGAATGGTTGACATGGCTAATTATAAATATTTCATCCTAAAACCTCGATCATGAAACTCCCCTACTGATTGTTAGATGACCGATCCGAGCAAAAATGTCCATAACAATTTTCAACTCAGAATTCGTTCAACTGATCAACTAGTTGAAGACTAACAAGCTGTTCCATTTTACTTTCAGTCAGTCAGCAACAATGTAGAACTTCGTACGTACTTACATCAATTCAATTTCCCATACCACGTTAGCAAAGAGACACAATTGTCGATTCAAATCCCGTAGTGATAGAGGTAGTGAAAGTATCAGCAGTAATCGGAAAGATTAGGGTTAGAAGATATTATTCAAGGAGTATAATCCAGTGGAATGAATTTGGAAACAGAAAAAAGAAAGGGATATGAAGAATCCAGAAGATTATAATCTGGAAGAACACAAAAAGTGTATACACCTGCGCCATTACAAACGATTTTGAGCCATGTGATTCAGGGTCTCTAACCATCGGTATTTATGTGTTCAAATAAATAAACCACCGGTTGCTATCGTCTCGGGGAGCCCAATCAGGTAGACTACACCTACCAACGTGGCTCGTCCACTTGTCAGTGACTTCATGGATTTGTGCATGTTTTAGTCTGGCCGCCACTAGCTTTCTTCCAACCTACCCTTACACCAGAAAACCTGAAAAAGTACAGACAAATTAGCTGGACCGCGAAACGTTGGAATTGTTATTTTAAATTTCAATCGTTGGGATTATTTCAAATATAATTTTCACATATAATGATATTCTAGGTATCATTACCAAGGTTTGATTTGATCATTTCGAATAAATTGAGCATTGGATAGATTGTTATAAATAAATAAATACTACATTTTTGTAATATCTCAATGAGTAGAAAAATTAGATTTTCTGACGTTTCGTAACTTAGTTTAAGCCACTTCTTCAAAGCAAATAAATAACCAAATTAAAATTACTTCATAATAACTTGTTCAGACCTGTTTTTGATTGATCACATATTATTCTTATTGTTCCGTTGTACTATCTAAACTTGAATTCATTTTAATTTGATTATTTATTTACTCTGAAGAAGTGACTTACATCAAGTCACGAAACCTCATTGGGATATTACAAATATTCTTATTTATTTATTTATAATGATATTTGTTCTATGTGGTATTATCTTGTTTCTTTATTATCATTATTATTCTATTTTACTTGTAGTAGTGGATTATCTGACGACAAGAAGTACTAATCATCAACTAAAACATACTATATTTCACTCTTTTTTATTCATTCAACAATTAATCACTTATATCGGTTCATTTGTTGTTTATTGTTGTATAAGTTATATTACATAATTAATATGAGTGAGTAGTCAAATGATAATAAAAGAAAGAAAGAAAGAAACGGTGTATGTATATCTTCTGTTCTATGAAGAGAATATTTTCCATTTGTATGATGATACTATTTGCTTAGTCTTATTCTTATTTCATTTTGTATGCAGTATCTAACTTCAGTTTTCACTTATGTTTAGTCTAAACACATGATTAGATTGACATTGTATTGTCCCTCTGTCTGATTGTCTCTTTCATAATAATAATAATGTTTATCGCACAAATACAATTCATGATAAACCATTATTATTATTATCAGTTATGTATTTGAGAATTAATAAATAAATCTTTCTTCTTCGGTGCTCAAAATGTGTGTTTTATTATTATGGAATTTATATACATGAGGTTTGAATAATTTTTCTGGTTAGCGTTTTTTTAGCGAGTTAGTTTTTTACGGCATGGGGACGCTAACCCATTCCCAACCCTCCTCCTTTATCGGGGCTTAAGACCGGGAGTAGCCCCCGGTGGGACTCCAGGCGGAGAACTACGAAAGCCATCATCCAGAAAATACAGGTGTTTATTAACGGTTGTCTACGCAAAATACTTCAGATCCATTGGCCGGACAATATTAGCAACAACGTACTGTGGGAGAGAACAAATCAGATCCCAACGGAGTAAGAAATCAGGAAGAAGCGCTGGAAATGGATAGGACACACATTGAGGAAAGCACCCAACTGCGTCACAAGACAAGCCCTCACATGGAATCCTCAAGGCTAAACAAAGGAGGAGAGGAAGACCAAAGAACACATTACGCCGAGAAATGGAGATAGACATGAGAAAAATGAACAAGAATTGCATGGAACTAGAAAAGAATGCCCAGGACAGAGTGGGTTGGAGAATGCTGGTCAACGGCCTATGCTCCATTGGGAGTAACAGGCGTAAGTAAGTAAGTATATACATGAGGATTATATATATGTATATTCAAAACAAACATTTGAAAAGATTTAGAAAAGATTGCCTACGACAGGATTGAATGGAGTGTGTTATTAGGCGGCGACCTAAGATAGTAATGCTGATGCTGATGAAAGTGTTTGTCAGTTCTTAGTGAAATCTAAATATTTATGTACTAGCATAGGGGTTGTGGAGATTATTAAGTTTTTGATTGAGATCATGATCCACAACCCCTATACTAGTAATCACCATGGGCTCAATAGTGACTAGCTTCGTGAGGGAACTCTTGGAGTTCTAGTGAGAAGCCGTAACCAGTGGGGCTAACCCATGTCGGGTAGAGACAGGTATCTACTTCAGTACAATGGAAGTTGGTCGCGCAGTTTCGTGGATTAGTTGATGTTAGACACTATCACCACTGGATGCCGGCTCAGTGGTCCAGTAGGTTAAGCGTTCGCGCACGAGACCGAAGGCCCTGAGTTTGAATCTCGTGGGGGGATCGTGGATGTGCACTGCTGAGTAGTCCCACAATAGGACGAAACGGCCGTCCAGTGCTTCCAGGTTTCCAAAGGTGGTCTAACGTCAATCGGTTCATGATCTCAATCAAAAACAAATATATATGTAACTGATAATAACTATAATTAGTTTTATTATCTAATCTTTAGTTCATTCACAAAGTTATGCTTGTATGACGAAAGAATATTGCATGACACTGGAATTTGTTAGTTAATCACTACTTCCTATATCGGGTCCCAAGATGTAGATGCATGCCAGGAAGAAGTATATATCTGTAAAATCTCTGAATATGAAACCAATCCGAAGTTTCGCTCGGCAGTCGTAAGGGATGCGTAGCGTATCATATCCACTCGTGATCAAGTTTAGATGTGTGACCCAACGCCTTCATCTTGATGTGTCCATGGTCGGTTGATACACTTACATATTTCTACTCAAATAACGGGCAAATCAATTTAGGTTGAGTCATCAGATTTTAGTTGTAAATTGGAAACTATCAACCGAAATATATTTCTCAAATGGTGATCATAATGGCAATGCGCAGTAAACCCGTCCTTTGGTTGATAGACGTATATCTCGCCTACGCCATAAATGACGCAAGTTGATAAAAGCTAGTGGAACCTATTGTATCCGTGCTGAGAATTCATCACACACCAAACCACAAGGGCTGATGAGACTTCCAAGATAAGTGGAGCGGTCGACACACTCAACTACTTCACTCCCTATCACTAGTTCGGGTGTCGATGTAACCCAATCCTGAAGCAACATTTTGCATTTCGAGGGAGAGAATCGCATCCCGAACATGCTTGCATTGTTGCTTAGAGTGGTCAGAAGACTCTGCATTTTGTCAGCGTCTTCACCAAATAAAACTATGTCATCTGTATATTCTAAGTCAACAAGTGACCCTCCCGGTAGAAGTTCAACTCCTGTAAATTTAGATGAGGAAAGTGTTATCTCTAAAAGTACGTCAATGACAAAGTTGAACAAGAATGGGGAGAGTGGACAGCCCTGACGAACACCACTTGAGGTGATCAATTCTGATGACAGTTCGCCATAAGCTCTCACTCGACCAGTTGTGTTCGAGTAGAGAGCCTTTATAAGGTTAATGTACTTCTTCGGTACTCCTTTCAGTGACAAACACTGCCATAGAACCTCACGATCAATAGAGTCGAATGCCGCCTTAAGGTCGAGAAATACTACCATTGTGGGGCGTCTGAATGTGTGTCTGTGTTCTAGAACCTGACGTACTGTGAATATCTGATCTATACAACCACGTCCAGGTCGAAAACCAGCCTGGTTTTCTCTAATCTGCTCTTCACGAGCTTTAGTTAGGCGTCGAAGTATTATTGAGGCTAATATTTTAGACACTATATTAGTCAAACTGATTCCTCTGTGATTGTCACAAGAGGACTTTTGTCCTTTCTTATAGACTGGCACAATCAGTGATTGAGACCAGTCAGGTGGGATTACGTCCAGTTCACAAATTCTACCTAAGACCTCGGTTTAATCTCATTGCTAATACTGGACCACCATCCTTAAAAATCTCAGGAGTAAACCTGTCAGGGCCTGCTGCTCTCCCTCGTTTCCGATTTCCTATGGCTTTTTCAACTTCGTTAAGGGACGGAGGACCTACATTAACTTGCCATTCAGGTTGACTGGAGATCGTGGGAAACCGAAGTGTAGCTGAAGGCCAGTTGAACTGATCCCTAAAGTGTTCTGCCCATCGATCCAATCTCCTAGATTGAGAAGGTATAATTTGTCCATCATTCTCTGAGAGTGTTTCGCTAACAGTCGTGTTCCTAATACCGGTTTACTTAACCAGTCTGAACAATTGTCCAACGTAAGGAAGAATTGGGGGGTTGCCATGTTAAAAGATGTTTTGCTTATGCTTAAAGTTAGTATTTGCAATGAACAGGTGGTTATTTGAGCATAGCTGCAACAGACGGTCGCCATTATCTGTTCTTTGACCAACGACACCATAAGATCCATCTAGGTGTCTCTCCCTACCGCTTAGTTTACCCACTTGAGCATTAAGGTCACCCGCCACTATTAGTACATCAGAGCGCCTAGCTTTAAGGAGGAGGTCGGAGAGCTTCCTTCAAACTCATCTTTTACAAACGACTGTCTACTGGGATCCACTCTAAGAGAGCTAGTTCTGCCCTAGGACTCAATGCTATATCTATGCCAGCGAGGCCACGGGAATTAGCATCTGGGCTTCCAGATACACGAAGTGTGAATCGAGTTGGTTCTCTGTTTCGACATGGTGAGGTCAGATGAATGACACTACTCGGATACTGTATGCGCGTTTCGGAGACGCAGCACACATCGATGGCGCGAGATTCTAAAGTCCTAGCTAAGGGAGCCTCCTGTCCTATTTGGCACAGTGTTCGTACGTTAAAAGCTCCTACGTGTAGTTTAGAGCGTGGTTTCAGGAGACCAGGAATAACGTTCTGCGTACTCTAATCATTTGCCCTAGCGGTGCGATGAGATAAAGTCGTGGAGATAAGAGATTTATTTAGAGGTGTAGGAAGGATTTGAATGTGACCAACTTGTTCTCGTGTGCTGTTTCGGGTATGAGGGCTGATATCACTTCCCGGCTGCCCACACCGTGGAAGGGTATTTCTTGAGGAACCTGAAAAGGAAGTTGGATTAATGTTGGCCTTAACGACCTGGGAGCGTGACCGCAGAGCCCAAGGGACAACTGCTTGAAGCCGGTCGCGCACGGCCTTTTCGTGGAAGGTTTGTAATGTGTTAGCTCCGCTCTCCAAAGGGCGTTACCGCCGGAGACGGAAATCCGTGAGGTAAGGTGAGGTGTGACATTTTTAGGGTCGACCTTTTCTAACCCCACCCCTTCTTGTGGGAAGGCAGCATCGCTGCAGATGCTGGTTGTCCGAGGGAAACACCTTACTGCTGTCATATCCCTCTACAGTCAGCAGTACGACTTCGCCCTCAGACCTTGAGTTGCTGCTTTTAGTCTTACCGTTCTCCGATCGACCTGCCTGGCATGGTAGAAGCTACAGGAACATATGTTCCAGCCAATAAAGCTAATAACAGATCACGTGAAATTGATTTTGTTCACAATTAATCTAATCAAGTCATTTTATTAACTTATTAACGAACTGAGTCATTCTAATATTAACTTATCTGTGTCATTGTATCTTTATTATTGTTGCGTATGTGTGAACATGTATGCTTGAGCGCTGCCTACTGTCCACGCAATAATTCACTCTGCTAGTCTTACTACTAACCACTTATTTGGTTCGATGACTCATGCATTTCACTATGTATATATATGTCCATGTTATTCATATTCATTGCTCTCGCTCGCTTAATTGTACGCGCTTGCTCGTATTCATGTTCGCTGACTCAGTCGCTCGCCCGCTTGCCTTTCGGCACAAATCTTCTATGCTTGTTTAACGCATCTGTAATTTTAAAAATCTGTATGTGGTCCCGTATT